AAGCAGCAGCAGTTGGGTGCCCTAGCATTCACCACAGCAGCAAGAAGCTGAGCAAACTGGCCCCAGCCACTGCACTCTTCTGAGCCAGCTCCCAGCCATGTCACTCAGGGAAGTGGGGAAGTGGAGCAGGCTGTGGCTGAGGTACTCCTTTTCTAGCCAATGCAGTAAAGCAGAGTGACCCAGCTGAGAAAGGGCAGAGTGAAGTAGGCTGCTGGATTACTCCGCTTTCCATGGCTTCCAAGCCTGATAACTGTCCATTCTACCTTAAATAGTGCTCCAAGTCACAAAACATAAAATCAAGGTTTTTTTAGGACTGTCACTTTTTAAAATGCAGCCCTGCCTCCCACTCGCATGCATAAAGGAATTGTGACATTTCTCAGTTAAAATTAACAAATGTCATTGTAAAATTAATTCTGTAGCACAGTAAACAATTTAAAAACAATATTATCACTATTCATACTGGTCCAGCAACTACTTTCTTGAGCTGGACAGTATTCCTATGCAACCAAAATACTCATTTAACCTTACACCAAGCTATTTAAAAAGAACTGGGTGGAGTTCATCCATCAACAGAGCCTACCTATAACCACACAGGTAACTTAGAAGCCTATCTTTTCCATCAAGCCAATTAGGGACCTCTCTCAAGCAACTACCTATGACCTGAAATACTATGAATGGACTCAGTGAGAAGCTACACTTATGTGGCCGCTATAACATAAATCTTTGAACAGCAGTGATGGAAAAGAAATAAACAGTGACTTTCTGGAAGATTCTTCCCCAACTCTTCCAAATAGAGTGCTATTAAGAACTATAATAGAGATGTAGCCGTGTTAGTCTAGTCTAGCTGAAACAAAAGACACGACTATGTAGCACTTTAAAGACTAACAAGAGCTTTCGTGGGCCAGACCCACTTCCTCAGATCAAATTGTGGAGGAAAATTTCTTCCACAATTTGATCTGAGGAAGTGGGTCTGGCCCACGAAAGCTATCACCTAATAAACCGTGTTGTTAGTCTTTAAAATGCTACATAGTCCTGTTTTCTGTTTCATAAAGAACTATAGCATTACAGTAGCATCTCCATGCCCTAAATGAAATTGGTGCCCTACTGAGATCATATAGTGAGAGGCTGCCCAGCCTCTAAATGACTTTCAATATAGACAGATGCATCATTCTCAAATCAGAAGAAAAATATCAATATTTTACATATGGTTATCTGAAACACAGATGGGTTAAGTGACTTGCCCAACATCCAGTACTATCAATGTCAAGTGTTCAACTATCACAAGTCAGGCCTCAAAACACATAAGTTTTAAAAAAAATAATAAAAGTTTGGTTCTTTATCTGCCTTCTGATTCCTATCCTTTATGTTTCACATTTTTCGACTTTCATCTGCAGGGATGAGGGACAGAAGCTTATCTTGCTTTTAATTTAAAAGTGAAATTCTTATGTAATCATTGGACTCCCAAAGCTGGGTCCAGGGGGGAAAAAAACATTCAAATATTGCAAGTGCTGACAACACTGACAGGGACTATAGCAGAAATGAAATTGAGTCAGGAGACCTAGGTTCAATGACCGTGCATTATCCACAAAGGCAACCCTTTTTGAAGACAGATACTAATTAAGGAACACATATTATATACACACACACAGCACACACACACACACACACACACACACACACACACACACACACACACACACACACACTTTCCAAGCATGCAGAAATACCTATAAAAGCCCACATCTTTCAACAAATAAAGAATAGGCTCTGTCACAGATGTCAAATCACCTATATCTATTTCATAATAGGAAAAATAAGCATAACTTCTGTTAAGGAAAATTCCTGAATTTCAATTTTTAGAGAGCGGTTGGGTGTTTGGCACTTTTGTGATCTTGTGACATATTTAAGTGTTTAAATATGGTCACATATTTTAAAAAACTGGTCTTGATATTCTGAGCATGCCAGCAAAATAGTGGATAAAGGAGAACCAGAAGACAATCTATCTGGATTTTCAAAAGTCTTTGACAATCTCCTTTCCCCATGAGGCTACTAATGAAACTAATTAGTAATTCTCTTTTACTGCTGAGAATATCTTGGTGTCATTATGAAAACTTCCTCTCAATGTGCAGTAGCAGTCAAAAAGACAAATGGTATTTTAAGAATTATTAGGGGGGCTGCACCCCCTACTCACTATGCACACGCACACACTCCAGCCACGACACCCTACCACCAACCTGCTCCTGCACTCTCCCTCCTGGCCATACACTGTACCCTCATTCCCAGCCAGATCCTGTACCCTACTACTATCCCACTGTGACAATGGGGATTTTGTCCACTTTCGTAGTCCTGTTGCCTTCACTGTTTGCTTTGTTGTGTGTGAGGGATTCCTACTGTCCTATTCTGCTCTTCAGTGACTCTGTGTGTGCACCTCAGTTTCCCTGGGCACTGCAGCACTATCTGGATAAGGAGGGAGAGGCTGGATATGACTCACTGTGGACGTATGTCAGTCTCTCAGGTCCTGAGGACCAGGTGACAACAAACACCACCTTGGGCCTGGAAGCAGGACAAAACAGGAGGCGGGGCTGCCTGGGGGGCCGTGAGCAGGGGCTGGGAGTGAGAGTTAGTTTTTCGGCTGGCTGGGGGAGCCTAGCTGGCTCCCTCCCAGATACTGCACCACAATACCCTGGCCAGAGACAATCCAAACCCCTGGCCAGACACCCACCAGCACCCTGCTCCTGCTCCCTCTCCCCTGGCCACACACCCACCAGCAGCCTGGCTCCTGCCCTTCTCCCCTGGCCAGATACCTACTCCCAGTTTACTCCTGAACCCTCTCCCCCACCCAGATTCTGCACCCTATCCTTATCCCACTCCATGGCAGCTTTGTCCCACACACTGGATCCCTTATTTTTGGCCCCACCCCGAGCCGAGGGGAGCGGGGGCACAAAATCCACTAAACCTGGAATTCCAGAAGAGTTAACCTGGCCTGAGACCTTGAACCTTCATCCTCCCTGCCCTGCCCTACCCCATCCCCATGAGCCTGGAGTACCATGGGAGTGAGGTGTCAGTTGGGGGGCCACTTTTTGCTTCTCGCTTGTATGGTCCTTATCTGATTTTTCTGTGGGAGAGTGGACCCTAACCCAAAAATGTTCTCCACCAGTAAATAAAGACAATGTTGAAACTTTTTGTGTTGAACATAATATTTTACTTTATTTAAAAATGAAGTCTGGTCAACAAGCCCCCAATTAGGGCCCAGCCCCCATCTCGCTACAGCATAAAACTCCTGCACCCCCCATACACCCGAACCCTGAGCCCCTCTTACCCCCACATTTCCAGTCCCCTGCGATAACACTCCTGCACCATCCACACACCCCGAGCCTGCACCCTGAGCCAATCATACTTCCAACCCCTCCGCCCTGAGCCCCTCATACACTTCAATCCAAACTCCTGTACCATAAAATTGACAAAAGACAGCCTGAAGGTGTGCATGAAGCTGGATTTGACCAGTTATGATGTAAATTTTAAAATGTGTGAAAACATGAAGCAACAGAAGTACCATTAAATAAAGTCTGTGAGTATGTTTCATTTATGCTATTATTAATTATGTCAATCATCAATAATATTAAGTTGTATATTTTCAGTCATACAAATGAGCATTCTTATACAGCTCTTTGTTGATTACTTGTTCTAAATTTTGATGTAGTTTGGCTCTTTGATTTGAAAAGGCTGCCAACTCCTACACTAAATGGTATCACCGTACCCTGCCAGTTAACTTGTTAACTTTTAGGGTAACCCACTTTATGTGCATTGTGTCTTCTCTGTGCCTGATCCACAGAGGATGAGAATGTTACACCCTCCATCTACAAAGCCAAACTCCTTAGTGCAAGCTTTCTGCTACGTAGGTCCATGGTTTAATCCCTGGTCAAGCTGGCAGCCTGATCTGGGAACACCCATGTTTCGGACCCTGGTAGGAGGAGGATGAAGCGGCTGTGTGTGCTGCTGCTCTCACTCCCCCTCCCAGCTGTAGGGGAACAGCAGTGCAGAGAAGCGCTGGTCTAGAGGCTTTTTCCCCCACTGCTCCCATAGTGAGTAAGGGTCGGTGCCTGGGACACTGGGGGGGGGGGGGGGGGGGGGCG